CTGAATCCCTTCTCAGTTCTTAAAACATAAACCATTCAGTGATCACTAATCAAGGAACTAGCACATTTCATATCATCAAAACGTAAAAATTATTACTGTAAAATGTGAATTTACATCAACATTTTAACTGACTTAAATATATCTTTTCCAATAGCAACGTATTCTATTCGCATGCCATCTATGGACTATGTGAATAAATTCATACTCATTCGAATGAAATGCCTACATCTATCCATAGGCAACCAAACGACCAGCTTTGACACAAACAAAAAAAAAACGAATACGACATTCGTATAGCACAACGGTTCTCGCTGGGGTGAAATTCCGCATTGGACGGGATTGTAAGTGTACCACGGGGAGTTGAGAAAATTCGCAAATCATTGATCATTGAATCATTTTTCCCCACGATTCCCAGTCTATTAATGTTTTCAAAATGCTCGTTTGCTTGCAATGAATTGATTCATTGCATAAAACCGGTAAATTCTTTGCAGTAAATTTCTCAATCAAAGAATCAATTAGTTGATTTGTTGCTGAGGTGTAATGGTTCGTCGGAAGAGCAGAAAGAAGAAATTACATTCAAACAGGTTGCCGAACACGGAAATGGGTATTTTTTCAAACATCTAAAGGGACACGGAACGCAAAAGAAGCGTAAGAACCACTGCTGTAGCATTGAAAAATTCAATGCAAGTATTAAAGAGATAGTTACAAAAACACCTTTCAGCTGCAAAGGATAATGAGTCGAATAAAGGAAATTTCAGTTCTCGAAAGGATATTAAAATAGAAAAGGAGAACAAATTTCGTTAGAAAACCAAGGGAAAAGTGTTCGACACAAACAATTTCAACGAAAAAAATAAAGTCCAAACGATGAATAGTGGAAAAAAATTAGGGAGTTAATAACTGGAATGTATTAATGAAATTAAGAGAATGTTTCCACACTTTGGAAATATTGGCTGAATAGACGGAAATTAGCGAAAATAAGAGAGCTGTGATTGAATTACGCCGCATAAAGTCAAAAGCTGAACTGGTCATGCATATCGCTGGCAGGTATGGCACAAACCCTCTGCGAAACTGATGCTCGAGAGCGAGAAGCGACAAAAGTATTTCTATTATCTGAATGATTGATTTCTACATTTCAATCCCACAGTACAAATATGAAATAAATAGTACGAACAAATTGATATACACGCATACCATGCAAAACAACATAAATAACTTCAAACTATAACACTATCACCATGTGGTAAAATCTGCAATGACATCTCATCCGCCTTAAACACTACATCGAAAACACGAAACTGTTCAAACTATCGTATGTCATCTAAATAAAAACTTAAGGGATCATAACAAATCAACAACGACAACAAAAATAACACATTTAGAAATGCACATCCAGAGCAAGGGTTAGCAAACTTCTACAACAGCTCTCTGGATTATGAATCTTCGGGTATATTTATCACCTTCATGAAAGTGTGCAAAAAGATAGAAGTTCAATTATGAGTTTTGTCTGAACTAATTGAATGATCTCGGAAAATGGAAACGTTATCGAAACGGCTTTTAAAACAGCCAAATCAACAGCTGAGGTATAGGTTGCCGACCCCTGACCTAAAGCCTCACATAAGCTATTATTGCTATAGCACTCAGGCAGCAGACAGACGGAAAGGGGGGGATTAAGAACGCGCGTAGCGATAGTAGACAACGACTACGACTAAAACAAAGAAGACATAGCCAATGAGTTGATCATCTCCTCACCAGATGTAGAGCCAAATAGGGAACCACCGGCTGGTTTCGCGCCGAAAAGTCCAACCCCACTGGGCTGCGATCCTGCAGCACCATTTCAAATTTTTCAAAAACAATTTCACAGAATAACCACAAAACAAGAGAGTGAGAGCACTAACTCTACAAAATATTGCTCTATCAAATTATAAATGTATGAATGAATGCAGTGTAAATGATGATTAAACGAGCCAAGATGAAGAAACAACGAATAAATTGGATAGAAATCCGCGAGAAGATCAATTCAAAGTCTCTGTCCCTTGAAAATCCGAAAATATCATTAAACTTGAAAACACACCATTTACATCTGAATTTTCTAGAAAAGAAAATCGCATTGGCCATTAGAAACAAATGAGAAGAATGTTCCTTTTGCAGCTGTCTTCTGTATCTAATACGTAAAAATAACTGAAAAACAAACAGGAAGCAATCGTTGAAAAAATAAAAAATAACCAACCAAACGGCGCAGATGTTGCCGTGTTGGTGCCGAATCCTCCAAAACCTCCCGTTGCTGCCGGTTTTGCACCAAACAAGCCACCCGATGTCGCCGTTGACGCTGTAGTTTGTCCAAACGTACCTCCGAAAGCAGATGTCGTTTGCGTTTGTCCGAATGGAGTTGCGGTGGCCTGCATTCATCGAATATCGTAAATCAAATCATTTCACTATCACGATTTCCTCACTTAGGAAAGTGAAATTTAAAAAAATTTTTTTAAACGAACCCCTGAGAGCTCAAAAGAAGTTCAAAAAAATCGCCTACTCATCACACACAAAATATCAGATCATGAGACATTCTTCGAATATAATATTCCGTTAAGCCATTACAGCAGTAAACCACATCAGTGTTATCGTATTTGTAAATTGTCGTTTCAATCAAAACAATACTATTTAAAATAAATATAAACTCAATTAAGAGATCGGAATGAATTCACTGCATGCAATAATACATGACAAAATGATAAAATAAAGGATGACACTATGCACCGTATTCGAGCCGAATGTGAACGGACTGGCTGTTGTTGTGGACCCAAACGATGAACTCCCACCAAAGAGTGATGTCGTCGGTTGGGTACCAAAACCCTAAAAACAAATCGAAATGAATAATTCTCTTACGTCATCCATGAACGAGTCGTTTCTGTTAAAACACACCTAAAACCCACTTTTCATCGCTGTCAATCAAACGGAGAAGTACAAAAACGAATTAATAAAGCGTTGACAGCCCACGTATGAATACGTATTGAAAGAGAATGACTATATTTTGGACAGATGTACTTCCGCGGAAAACCGAATTACGTCTATTGAAAAACAAGAATAGCATCCAGCAAAGGTTAAATGATCACGCCAGAAGAGTGAAAGAATGGAGAGCTGTTAACCACTCATCTGATGAGCGATATTTTTAAGATCACTAAATGAATTATTTAAGTAAGATTCGAGAGATTCAACACGATTTCAACACGTGCCTATTAGAAAACGGTTTGATGTAGGAGAAGAATGATAACAAGAAGTGGGCCATGTGATATCTATTGACAACATAAAGGAACATGCTATAAATGCTGACTGAATAAAATATGCATCTATCGATGTTTTTAACTAAGCACTCGTACCGTTGTTGGTTTTGCACCAAATAAACCACCAGTGGTCTGTTGCTGAGTTTGTCCGAACGGCGATGTGGTCGCGGTAGCTTGCTGGGTACCGAATAAACCAGTCGCTGGTTTATTCGCTGATCCAAATAACGAAGACTGACCCGTGGTTGTCGATGCACCAAACAATGACGGTGTTGTTGTACTCGTTGTGGTAGTGCCAAATGCGCTGCTCGTACCTCCTAATTTGATCATTATTATTATGACTGTCATCATTAACATTATTATTATCAGTACTGTTAACGCCAATGTTTTTCTTTGTTACTAGTACTATAAATGTTAATTTTATCCTTATTGCATTCGTTGTCACTACAACTATTACTGTCATATCCATAACTATTAAAATAAAACTACTGATATTTTCATTAATTAGTCTTGCGAATATCAAAACTTCTGAGTAAACAGATTACTGAACCAACATCATGTTTACGTCTCAAGATAACAGAACATTGCACTAAAAACAAAATGAACATTTCCAAAAACTACCTCCAAAAAGCGATTTATTCTGTGCACCAAATAAAGATGATTGTGTGGTGGCTGTATTACCACCGAACAACGAAGTTGATGTTGTTGGCTGCGTCTGACCAAACGTTAAGCCTCCACCCGTTGTTGCACCACGTCGATTTGCTATATAGTCTTCACAACGCAATTCCTTAATTCAATCATCATTAATCGTACATTCCCATATATAATAGTTTCATTACTGTCTCAGCCGTGATGGATATACATTACTAGCACTATTATTCTTGGTTAATGTCACTTTCGAACTGGACGATGAATAAACGAAACGAATTGAATGAAGCATTAAATGAACGAATGAAC